ATATTCTAATTTATTCAAATAGACAAAATCGATAACTTGAAATATTTCCTGTATTTCGGCGTCCTTTGTGTTACCTTGAGGAACAAGTTTCAATTTTTCACTTTCCAGCAGGCTTTCAACATGACTAATTAAAGATTTTTTTAAATTAACTAATTCTTTGACTGAGTAGAGTTGTTTTATGTTTTCCAACACTTTCAAATTTTCAGCTTCTACTCTGAAGTTAAACAGAAAGCACAATAAATCATCAGCATGTATTGTCCGTGCAGCCATTTTTCAAAATTATCCGGTCTGGTTTTCCGTAAAAGCAACAAAATTTACAAAGTTAATTAACAGAAATTAACTTAAAAATTAGATATTTTCCTGTTTTAACCAAAAATTAATTCTACTAAACTTAAATTTAAGAATATTTTTCAAAATTAGTTAAATTAAAACGAGAGAGAAAACGTGCGTTGAAAAATGAAAAATGATGCTAGACAAACGTAGGATGTTCCTCAACAAATTATCACCAATTCTTTTATTGGCCTTTCACAGGCGGCATCTGGCCAAATGCCAAATATTTCCACACTTAAAAAGACTATTCGAAATTCCAGGCGTCTTGTTAATCATGCACCACCAAATCCAAATTTTTTGGTAGACTTAGTTATCCCTAATGACTATCAAATTACGCACAATTGATAGCATGATAGTCCTAACCAAATTTTCATTTTATCAACTCATCGAAATATGCAGCTTCTTTTACACTCTGAAAATTGGTACGTTGATGGAACTTTCAAAACTGTGCCCCACTTGTTTCATCAAGTGTACACTTTTCATGGAATCTGCAACGATTGCGTTATTCCTGCTGTGTTTGCTTTATTTCCATCAAAAACAGAAGAAACATACAATCGGCTATTCCAACAGCATATAAATTTGCAATCCATTTTAGCTCCAACCTCAATTACAACTGATTTTGAAACAGCCGCTATGAACGCTTTTCACAATGTATTTTCCGAATCATAACAGAAAGGATGCTTTTTCCATTTTGGTCAATGCCTGTAGAGAAACGTTTAAGCAAACGGTCTTCAAAATAGGTAAAAACATCTTGACATACTTTTGCATAAAAAACGCATTTTTCACAATGGTTGCAAAATAAACGCATTTTTTAGTTGTTTTAAATTCTATTACAGAAATGGCAAAGGATAGAAAAGTTCTAAACAGTGGCGTTCCTTCGGCTTCTGAAGCCCGAAGCGGAAATATTTGTGAGGCCGTTTGATTAATTAATAATCAAAATTGAACCCGAATTTCTTTACTTAAATTATCGTTGACAGTTGTGGGTGACCAGCTGCGGTAGGTTCAATTCATATCGTGTAATATAATACTAATTGCTAACTATCGTGTAATCGTTAAAATGCCGAAAACTCTTCACCATTCGGCCTAATTTGTCAATTAATTGCCAAAATTGATTCATTATTTGGCTTAATTAATTATTTTATCGATTAATTGGTACAGTTGTTGGTGTTGTGTTCAATTCCTGACCTTCGTCAATACTGTCGTTCAATAAACAATCTATTAATGAATATTTGAAAATAATTTACATTTGGACTCGTTTCAATTAATTTCGACAAATTTCAACTTTAATTCGAGTGAATTTCAAGCTAATTGCACTTGCTCGGCTCGCGATCGAACCCTCTACGAGAAGGTCTATAAAAAACGGTCGGCACTAATAATGGCCGGACCGCTTCGATACACCTGCCTCCATTATTTTACCAAAAAATCACCGCCAAAATTAACGATATATTATATAAATATATATATATATATAATATGTGTTTATAATGTATAACGTTCATGGGGTTTGTAATTGCAAAAACTATAACTTCAAATTAGCCTCACGATAAATTTTCCCCCACGATGAATTTTCCCATGATGAATTTTCCACGATGAATTTTCCCCCATGATGAATTTTCCTCCACGATGAATTTTCCTCCACGATGAATTTTCCTCCACGATGAATTTTCCTCCATGATGAATTTTCCGTGATGAATTTTCCGGACACCATTTCGCTGCGTAATTAATTACTATTTTTTAAATGGTTTGATAAGAATATTATCGATTTTCTTGCTTAAAAAAGTACCGCCTCATGTATGCAAGTATATAAAAAGATTTTACCACTCATTTTGAACATTAAAAAAAGTTTTATAAAACACAAACAGTTGACAAAACGCGTCATGTGTTTCACTAATGTGTAAACAGCTAATGTGTTTCTGTTACAAATTATAAAACCTGCACTTGATATCTAATAATTTTTATTTTTTTGAAACCACCATTGTCCTGACACCACAATTTTAAGTAACAAACAGTCTGTCGTACTTTGTCTTGCTGCTGAAAATATCAAAACAATCTTATCGGCATTATTATAAGTAGTAGCAGTGTTAGTATCAGTATTAGTAGTATTATTATATGCACTTTTATGGAAAAAACTTAGAATGATAAATCTTATTTTTATTTTGTTAAAATATGTTGGTTATGAATATGGTAGTTATGAATAGCTATATCAAAAAATTTGGCGGTGATCGGCACCGGCAGAGATTATGGAACACAACTCCGCTTTTTGTGCTTATAAGATAGAACAAATCAATTCTGTCGCAGAATTATATTTTAACTTTCAAAACAAACAGTCTGCGTTGTGAGTCCCTCATAATTAACCAAAAGTGTTCAAATAGAAACAAAATATCAACTAAATTGATGTTCAAAAAGGATCTAATATGGCTACTAAGTCACTAACTCGGAAGTCCAACAACTACTACTTAAAAGGTCTTACCAACTACTTGGCCTAGTTTGAAAATTGAAAATTTCGGTCGCAACAAATACGAACTAACTTTTGCTGAAAATATGAAAAAAACTTTATTGGCAAAATAATTTAGATTTCAATCCCATATTTTTGTTTTCTAAGTAAACCTTCTTAATAAATTTACAGTTAAATTTTTCAACGTTTGTGTGAAACCAAAAAACTCATCTAAGTTAGCCTAAAAAATAAAACACTGGTTTGTCAAATCACAGAAATGTAATAATTTAATCTTAATGTAATGAATAAAAAAATTCTCATTTCTAATTAATTTGAAAAAATTTAGTAATATATGTTTTAGTTATCGTACTTAAACTTACAATTTAATAAATAATACAATATTTTAATTAAAAACTACTGAATTGAACAAAATGAACTTCAATTCAATTTATTTTATTGTTTTATCAAATTTAAAATTGTTTTAATACATCGGTAAAAACTGCTAATTTTTTCATTATGTCATTATTTTTTATTTATTTATCAAATCAAAGAAAAGTAAAAAATAGAAATGATACGGAGATCAAAAAAGAAAAAAAATTTTATTATAGACCACCGTTAAACAGAAAATAATACGTTTAAATGAAAATAGATAAATTAAAAAATGTTAAAGCTACTGGAAAATTGACTCAAATTTATAATGGCAAATTTATAAAATAAACGATAATGTTAATTATTCTAAATAATAATTTCATGTTTAACGGACAAAAGAAAAGATTTGCAACAATATTTAAATTGACTTGGTTTAGAAAACGTGGTGATAGATGAAGGCAGTATTTTGAACCAAATTTTAGAAGCTAGAACAAAAATACTATCATTTAAAATTTTCAATCGACTAAATGGAATAATAAAAAGAGTAAAAAATCTAGTAGAGCTGAAACTATTTGGAGGTTTACGCAATAAAAAATTAGAAAAGTTAGAGGGTACAACGCGATCAGTTTGCTTCAAATAAAATAAAAGTTTGATGAATTTCTTTTGTAGCTTATATAATTTTAATATGTGTGTATTAGGAGAATGACCCCAAATGATGTTACAATAAGTAAGATGAGGAAAAATAGATGCGTAGTACAATTGTAAAAGAGTAGGAACATTTAGTTTATATCTAATTTTAAAAAACAATCCTAGTATCTTGCTAATTTTTGACGTGAGTGAATCAATATGATCAGTCCACGACAAATTATCAGCAACAATGAGACCTAAAATTTTAGCATTAAATTTTTTTTCTATAAGATGATCATTAATATACAGATTCAGAGACCCAAATACATTAGTAAGGATTTTAGGTCCAAAACACTTATAAAAACATTTTTGATAATTAACCTTTAATCCATTTTGAGCAAACCAATCAGTAATAGTTTTTAAATTAGTGTTTAAGAGATTAGGACCTAGATGCATTACAAAAAATTAGCATCATCAGCATAAAGAATGAGTTTAAATATAGAATTTATATAAGCCAAGTCATTAATAAATAAAATAAACAACAAAGGTCCAAGTATTGACCCTTGCGGGATACCTTTGGGTACTAAAATTTTGCTGGAATTGACATTATTAACTCTAACGTACTGGTATCTGTGGAGCAAGTATGGCCTGAACCAAGACTGCGATTTACCTCGAAAACCTAACATGTCTAGTTTGCATAAAAGCAATGAGTGGTCAATTAGATCAAACGCCTTGCTAAGATCAATAAACACACCTAACGTAAAAAACCTATCATTCATACTTGATAATGTGTTCTGAACAAATCCAGCTTTTCGAGTATCTTGGAAAGTGTGGACAATAAAGATATAGGCCTATAATTTGATACTAAATTTTTGTCACCCTTTTTATGTATAGGAATAATTTGCGCATTTTTAAAAACAAAAGGAAAGATTCCTTGATGAAATGATAGATTAAATAAGTGCAAAAGAGTTTTAGAAATATTATATATGCATTTCTTGATAATGTAATTATTAAGCTCATCGTCGGATAATGATCTGAATTTCTTCATATTACTAACGGCATCTATAATTTCCACTTCTTCAATGTCATATAAATAAAAGGAATCAGGCTGGCATTTGAAAACAGCTGATTTTGTCGAGGAACTGAAATTATCAGCAGCCAATGACAAACTCTCGATGAAATATTTGTTGAATTCATTAGAAATAGAGGAGCTATCAGCAACAATATTATTGTTGACAAATAATTGAGAAATATTAGGGTATATATTACTTTTTAAAAGAGAATTAATGTATTTCCATTTAGATTTGACATCATTACAAGAGAGTTGATGATTAATATAATTACATTCAGCCTTGCGAACAGCGGAGAAAAGGCGATTTCTATGTAGTTTGTATTGACTAATATTAAGAGGTGAGGTGTTGAATTAGTGACACATTTTTTAAATAGTTTATTTTTAACTCGAGATGCAAGTATGATATTTCTAGTAATCCAGTTTTTATGCTTATTTTTT